TCCCTCCTTTTGTAAGGTACACGAGCAATATTATGAAAAAAGATACTTATCTACATATATTCATTTATACACTCGTATCGACAACTTTTTTTTAAAAAGTTTTTACGTAATCGATATAACTGATTAGGAGCTAAGTTATTTATGTATTGAATTCTGCATGAATAACATCATCTTTATTTGGTAGCATTTTATCATTTGTTATTAAATAAAATGCAATACGCCTGATATGATGTACATTTTTGTGCTTTAATAAACCCTCGTTATAACTAATACATGTGTAAGTTATGAAGAAATTGATGTATTATTTATGCAAGACAAAAGATGAAATAAACTTATGATACATACATAACTAAATTCTACACAACTAATTTTCAAGGGGGTAGTTTATTTGTCGACTAAAATTATGCAGGAATTAATAATATAGAAATTAATAATACATGAATTAGTTTTATAGAATTTAATAATTCATATATTAGTTATTTTATCTTCTATCCTACAATCTTCTTATACATGTTTTGGTCGTGAAAATTCCGAATATGAACCAAATTTAGGTTGTATTATCAATACTATGGTTTATGTGAAAACAAAACATTGTATATATAACTTATGCTAAAACAGTTTAGAGAGTATTTTTCCTAATTTTTATTACCAAAGAAAGTATAATATTATGTTAAACTTTAATGCACGAATAACTCCTTCTAGCAACCAAATGACCCCTATTATCAATTTTACAAAATATGTATATTAGTGTATAAGAAATTTTATATACACGTTCACACAATTATATAATATTTCTTTTCCTATTCAACCCATGAAGCTCTATTCGACACAATTATATAATAGGACCAATTATATAAATAGGACCAATTAGTTCAAATCTCAATCATAACTTCAAATTTTAACCAAAATTTTGATGTGACATTTGGATCGTCGATTAATTTTAACTTTGAATATATCACAAAACTCATTTATAATCTTTCAAAACCCCAGTAATGGAGTTCTAATTTTTGTACTTGTAATTCATCAAACAAGAATAAAATCTATGATGATAAATACAAATTTCATCCAATGTAATTTTAAAAATTTCACTTCTAATTCGCACAACATTGATTAAACTTGTGATGATAAATATGAATAATAGTCTCAATAAATTTCAAAGCATTAAAAAAAAATGAAAATCATAATCACAAATTAAGAGTTACTACCATTTCCCTAAGTATTTCCCAATATATACAAAATAGAGTAAAATTCTAAATGATAGGCTCACTATGATTATTAGTTTGGGCCAAGTGATATAGAGGGTAAAAAATTCAAATATTTATATATTATTAAGGTAAATACCGTAGAGTATAGGGATGATGGCGACATAGCTATATATGACGAGTGGGGTAGGTTGGAGAGCGAAAGTGACACATTCTAAAATTTATTTTTCTCATATATCGCTTTCAAAAATAAAATAAAATTATGTTCATTATTAAGAAATTTAGTTTGTACATTTTTCAAAAAATTAACAAAGTAGCATAAGAAAATATTTTTCTCCATACTAGACATTAGATAACATGAACATACTTTTATTTTATCATTAGTTTCCTAAACAAAGTTTTATTTTTTTTTATCAAAAGGTTTATGTTATAATTAGAATAACAAGTATGTTTGCATAAAATTGAGGTATGGACAATATTATTTAGCTCTTTATAGTAAGTAGTAATTAGTGTATATATATTGTATATGATTTGATAGAAATCGGTGCCTACGTAGTGTTATCACCATTTGAGTAGTTTAAATTGAGCAAGCAACATCCTATGTTAAGTTTGGTTTAGGTAATCAATTCTTTCAGCATTTAATGCCACGTGTATCTATGAAATCCTATATATCTTAAAAGTGTCCCCTTTCCATATGTTATGTATACATTAATATACTTTTTCATATATGCTTTCCACGATTAAAGTGTTTTCTAAACCGTACATGAAATTTTTGATATAATATAATTCTACTAATTAATATATGATATGTTAAAATTTTGTGAAATGTTTTAAGTTTTAAGAAACAGTGTAGGTGCGTTTTAAGCCACTTGCCACCTGCTTTTTTTTAAATGATATTACGTGTAACACTCAGCATAACGTGAGGGATTTAGCCTTAGGATTAGGGTTTTTGTTCGTAGTTGGGTGTTAAAAGAAAACATTGTTATAAATACATTAATAAATGTTTGTGTATAAATTAATGGATTTATATAATACAATGTTACGTCGAATGACCAAGAGAGTCTTTTCCACAAGCAAGTTGGATATAAAGTATCATGGAATATAAAAGTACCAATGATAATATCATAGTCAACCTAGTCTATAGAGCGTAAAAATGGTTAAGTGTGCATAAATTTTTGAAAAATAAAAATTATTTTAGATAGAAACAAATAAAAAAAAGTGATGAATTAAAAGCATTATAAAATATGTGAATGACACTATAATCAAAATAAAAATACATACTTATAAATTTTACAAAAAATAAAGATTTTATAATGACAAAAAATTTCCGATAGTTGCAGCGAACTTGGAGTGTTGTTGAACTGATCTATCCATCTATCAAAAGCAAAATTATTCTTTCGTTAAATAAATATGAACTTTGGTTATATCTAAAAGGCATAATACATATATTAAATTTTAATTTGGTTTCAAATTTTGATTTTAATCTTCAATTTTTATAATGCACAATACACGTAGAACATCATGTAGAATAAAAAAGTAACATATAGTATGGCATGTAGGACATATGTGTCTATTTGTTCAATTTTATACAAGTTTAAGTGCCTATTTATGAACATCTAAAGTTGAAGGACATAAATATAATTTGAAGTCAAGTTAAAAAAACACATTTATGTATTATGTCAATCTAAAAAATTGTACTCCTGTAGTATGGAAAGTAAATTTGTTATTGTCTTCATTTTGTTATTTTTTTTCTTATTATTAGTTTGAATTACTTTTTTTCAAGTAAAAAATTTATAAAAAATATCTTTTTTCATTTAAAAAATATAATTACACCTCAAATATTATGAAATTCACTAAATATATTATTACTAAATATATTATTATTACGATGCTACACGTGAAAAGAAAAAAGTAATGAGGAGGTAAATTTAAGTACGTAAAAGCAGGAAAGAATGATGATATTTTTACCTACAATTCAGTTGAAAGAGGACATATATAAGAGATTCTCTGTAGGTTTGTAATAATATCCCCTACGTTCCCTTTTTCTGAAAAAAAAAATGAATTTTCCCACTTAGTCAAACATGCAATATATTTTTTTTAATATAAGTTCCAAGTGAACTTTCAGTTTGATATTGTTAGAATAAGATATGTTATTTTAAGAACTTTCAATTAAAGTAATTTGTACGAGCATAATATATAAACTATAACATCCAAATACTTGAGGGAGTGATATTCGTTTCCCTCTTTAGAAAAAGTAGTACTCAATATTATAATTTATTGAGTTGATTTAAATTTAGTAAATAGGATTAATATAAACTAATATAGCAAAAAAGTAGGCGTATTTTGTCTAGTCAATTTTGATGATAAATAATACTAATAACAAAAGGGATAATTGTACGGAACAATAAATTAATAATTTAAAATAAATAGAGTAGCTACTGTTTAATTAATTGTTCTCTATAACAAATGTTTGTCTGTCGCCTGTCTCCCTAAACTCTCGCTTGCCACTCACTCTCTGTTCGCCTCTCTCACTTTATAGAACAGAAGTGTATAAATTGTATTTCTATTATAAAGCGAGAGAAAATTATATATACACATGCAAAAACATATATCTTCTTTCTATACACTTAATTATACAATATACAAACCTTTTACTTCGATTCAATCATATACAAATGCAAATTTTATATAGATATTGCAGCGAAATAGGCTAGCGAATTATACAATTGCAAGTTATACGATTGCAACGAAATACAATTTTCTCTCGCTATATATGACTTGTGTTTCGATTTTGTCTAAAGAGAGAGAAATTGTATATATACATGCAAAAACATATATCTTCTTCTTATGAACTTGTAATTAAACAATAAACAAATATTTTACTTCAATTCAATTTTATACAAATAAAAATTTTATACAGATATTGCAGCGCCAATAGGCTAGCGAATTATACAATTACAGCGAAATAGACCAACAAATCATACAATTTTATATATATATATATATATATATATATACATACATACACATATATAACAAATTATACATTTATATATTTGCTAGCTATAATATACAAATATATTTTTTTATTTTCTATTAATGAAAGTTGCCCTTAATAATATTTGATGTAAATATATACATTTTGTAAGCTTGTATGAAAGGTGATATGTACTTAAAATTATTTAGTGGCTCTTTCTTTTTCCTACATGGCCTGTCTTTCACCAACCATCATCTTCTCTAATAATGTGGCTTAATGCTTACCTCATATTTCATGTTTAGTAACTTTTATATATATATAGCTAAATAAAATAGAAACTACTCTTCAAAAAGAAAAAATAATTAAAAAACTATATATATATATATATATATATATATATATATATATATATATATATATTCAAATGGGTTCGTGTGAACAACCTGCCGGGTCCTGAATCTACTTATGCTAAAAGCCTGTTTAAATGTGTTTATAATTTATTTAAATATTTATTTTATTCTTTATTGAAGTTTTATATTTTTACGAGAAGAATTGTATTTATAAAATTATATATATAATTTTACAAATAATAATAATAATATATTAAGTTTTAAAGTATGTTATTAATGTAATTTATCTTACAAATTCAGAGAAAGTTGTTTATAACAAGCCAAAAAAAAAAACTCATAACTCGTATAATTTGATTAATTTTATTATTTTAATTTTAAAAACAAATATTTAAAAAAAGTAATTAGATTTAGTCAAATAAAGTCATTGAATAAAATCTCATCCAAACCTCAACTTCATTTACTCCAATTTGCCTGTTTAAGCAATGATCATAAATCTTTTCTTGACTGGTTTTCTCTTTAAGCAATATAAAAACCTTTCACACTGTAAATCAAAACACACACAACAAAAAAAAAAAGAAAACAAAAAAAACTTGTGAGTCTCTTTCAAGTAGAGCGCCTCTCATGGCTATACCCCACTCTACTTTTGAGTGTTAAAATTTTGAGATATCTTCTCTAAAGCCGCCTCTCTTTCTTCTTCTTCTTTTTTTTTTTTTCTTCTTTTCTTCTCCTTCTTCATTTCTCTCTTTTTTTTACTTCTCCTCAAATTTTGATGAAAACCCTATATAAAAATAATTATGTTGTTGTCATGATGATTTTTTAACTTTTTGTGTTCATCTCTTGTGTTGTTGTGGATCAGAGAGAAGAAGCATGGGAAAAGGAGTACTGCTGCTATCATCATCATCTTCTTCTTTTATGCAGAGATTTGAAGTCATACATCTCTGATTGTCTTCTTCTTTTTTTTAGTGAGGTGGTGTTTTTTGCAGTAAGTGCACTAAAACCAACAAATTAAAATCTCTTTCTCTCTCTCTCCATATCTCTGTCCTTTCTTCTTCTTGTTCTCTTGCTTTATTCCATTTGTTATCTTAGCTGTTTAAAGCAAAAAATAAATTAATGGATTCTGGAAACAACAGTTCTGGTCTGCAGTCATCAAGTACTGGCGGCGGTGGTGGTGGTGGTGGCGGTGGTGGTGGTGGTGGTGATGAAGAGTACAATTCACGTGCTGCTTCACAAACCTTTTCATCATCTTTTCACACACAAAATTCCTCATCTTCCTCCATATTGGACCCCTTTATCAACTTTTTCGACCACGTATCCCACCCCCGCCCCCAACCACCACAGAACAGCACAGCCACCCCAATTTCAATTTACGATCTTCAGTTCCATTTGAACAATAGAAGGACAAGAACCGATCAAACCAACAACCTGATGTCTGAGTTTAATAATTCCTTAATTTTTGATACTACTACTGGTAGTATTACTTTCCCACCGACATCACAGCAACACGACGCCGGTGATGGAAATGTAAGTGCTATTACTGTTACCGAACAGTCGGCAGGTGCAGCGGATCCATCAATTGCCGAACAGGCACGGAATCCGAAGAAAAGATCGAGAGCTTCGAGGAAGGCACCAACTACTGTGTTGACAACAGATGCAAATAATTTCAGAGCTATGGTTCAAGAATTTACAGGGATTCCAGGACCACCCTTTGCTGCTCCTCCTATTATCCCTATTCGAAACAGATTTGATTTGTTTCCTACTGTGCCTAATTCTGTTGCTCCTACTCCTATCGCCAATAATAATACTTTCCTCATTTCACAACCATCGCCTAATTATCTACAAAGGCCTTTTCCTCAGACAATTCAGCCGCCACCACCCTATCTTGGTCCTTCTTCATCGTCAGCGTCTGCGTTCAATCGTTTACCTATCAACATGGCTTCTGCTTCATCAGCATCTACTAGTGCTACTCATTCTGCTTTTAACTATCAACTTCCCAGCGGAGTGGCACATCCTTTACCTATCAACATTGCTTCTGCTCCATCAACATCTACGAGTGCTACTCGTCATTCTGCTTTTAACTATCAGATTCCCATCGGAGTTGCTAATTCTGTAGCACATCGAGGTTTACCTATCAACATTGCTTCTGCTCCATCAACATCTACTAGTGCTACTCATCATTCTGCTTTTAACTATCAGATTCCCAACGGAGTTGCTAATTCTGTAGCACATCGAGGTTTACCTATCAACATGGCTTCTGCTCCATCAACATCTACAGGTGCTACTCAGTCTGCTATGAACTATCAACTTTCCAGCGGAGTTGCTAATTCCGTGGCACGTCGTTTACCTATCAACATTGCTTCTGCTCCATCAACATCTACCGGTGCTACTCGTTCCGCTATTAACTATCAACTTTCCAGCGGAGTTGCTAATGCTGTAGCACATCGAGGTTTACCTATCAACATTGCTTCTGCTCCATCAACATCTACAGGTGCTACTCATTCCGCTATTAACCATCAACTTTCCAGCGGAGTTGCTAATTTACCTATCAACATTGCTTCTGCTCCATCAGCATCTACTAGTGCTGCTCATTCTGCTACTAACTATCAACTTCCCAGTGAAGTTGCCAATTCTGTGGCACATGGTTCTAATAATTTCAATTCAGTTCAACACAACTCAATCTTCACATCACTTCTTCAATGCTCACAAAAATACCAATTTGGGTCGAAAGAACCACAACCATTCCAAATGCCATCAAATAACATTGTCTCCCAGTTCCAAATGCCATCAAATAGCATTTCTCAATTCCAAATGACATCAAGTTTGAACAACAGCACCCAGCATGGATATCTTCTGAGTGAGCTTCCCAATCTGATTTCTGAAGAACAAGCAGCAACCACATCGTCCATGAACGAGAGCCGTATCAATGCAACAAATTTTCATGGCGATAATTTGCGGGAAGCAGTCAATGCAACAAATTTTCATGGCGATAATTTGCAGGAGACAGTGGTTGCAACAAATTTTCATGGGGACCAGGTGCAGGAAACAGTGATTCCAACAGATTTTGACGGCGATAAGGTGCAGGAAACAGTGTCCAACAAGGGTGTTGAAGGTATGGTGGAATCATGGCTTCTTTCTACAGATTAGAAAAAAAGAAGATTATAATTGAAGTCATGATTATGTGATCATAACAATAATGAAGAGGGTAAAAGAAAAGAGATTTAGTAATTAGTGCTAGCTTACAATCATGTTCTATAAATCATGATTTTCCAAAAAAAAAAAAAGAAAAGAAACAAAAGAACTTTAGTTTAATTTCATCAAGTGCAGTGTAGATAATAATATGGGGTATGGGGATTGGTTTAATTTCTTGAAGTAGTTGATTATATGGCTAATCATATACTTGAAATAGTAGTTTTAGATTAGCTTTGGGAGATGAAATACAAATATAATTATGAATGATGAAAAAAAGTTCTTTTGTTCATTTTCCTTGTTTTCTTGTTCATATTAGTTTATTAGAATATAGTAAAATGCTCTTACTTTGAGTTTCTTCTTTTTCATTTTACTCTGAATATTCATTCCTTTTTTACTATCCATAGCTTTTTTTACTTTTATCTCTCATGTTCCTCGTACCTTCTATTCTCTCAACGCTGATGTGCGTAGGGTAATCTCCGCTTTTTATATAATAGTTCGTAAATTATACCAGAGAAGAAATATAATTTTGAGAAAGAAAGTTAAAAATAATTACTACGAATTTGATATTCTCTCTCTTTTTTTTAAAAAAAAATTTAATGTTGTTGAACTGTCAGGATACTTTTTCTCCCAGAGTCAAGTTTTTCCACGTAGACTATTCTACAGTTTAGAAACAGTTCTCTTTTTTTGTTAGTGTAGATTGTAGAATCAGTTTCACATTGGAAACGACAAATCTTTGAATTATTATAATATGTTGAAATATGAGGAGTTAATTAAATTTTAGATATCTTTGGTGTTACTTTTTTTTTTTTTAAGAAAAAAATATCATTACAGTTCTATTTTATCTAAGTACTAGTTATCCATTTCTTATACTACTATTTAAATATAATAATTCTATACTTTTAAATTGTACTATTATTTTGAAGTTAACATAAGACACTACATATATTAAGCAAAGATTAAAAGGAGGAATTGGCGGCGTGATTCGTGGGATCGTTAGGCGCCGCATTCTACTATTGAATTATTTCTTATTATGAAATTCCAACTCCATACATTTCATGTGAACGGAATTCATAACGTTAACTATTATATAAAGATAATTTTACGGTTACTTCAATATTTAAAGAATTAAAAACACGGTAGAATAGCTTTAAGAATGAAGAATTATTTTTTAAATCTAAGTTTTTGAATTTTTAAATATTATATGTACGTCTCGTTTTGGGGTACAACACAGCAGTCATGAAGCACGGACTCGCGGTATGATCTCTTTGGTCAACTAGTATTATTTTCTTTTTAGTATTAATACCAAACCAACCACCACCCCACCAAAATAATTTTTTTAAAAAAAAAAATTAAAAGAGAAAAGGTTGACTAACCATACACGCAAGGATCTGTAAGCTTATAGCATGCAGTCATTGCCCCTCTTTTTAAAAAATAAAATTGTTTTTTGCTATTGTCTAATTGTAGTTGAGTATTATATAAGTAAATATTTAGACAAAATAAAATGTGTAGTGTATAGTTTATGTATTCTTATTTCTAAGTTGTATTTAAAGTAGTAGGTTTGGTTAAATTTGTTATTTTTACTTTCCACTGCCTTTTGTTACGTACCAAGCTCTGATAACTATTATTAACTGCAATGTTAATAAATTGATATACTTCATATTGGTTTGACTTGGCACTATGTCCATGAGTCCGCTAGGAGGCAAAAAAGAATTAGTATATAATAGTCAATTTTGCATCTTCGTTTAATTTATTGGATCTGGGAAATGATATTCTATTGTTTAGGACCTACTAGTCTACGAACGAAGGGAAATAATACTAGTATAAGAATGATATGGGTTATGAAGAGCATTTATTTTCAAGATAGTTCCGGTCATAAATGGAAGATATAACTTGTTTTTCAAACGAAATTAAAATTTTAATTTTTATGAATTTTAAATTAAATAAAAATAGCTACTAGCTACGCTCCCTCCCTTCTGAACCAACCAAGCCAAATCACAAAAGGTCCAATAGGAAATAGATTAGTAACATTATTAAGGTTAATGAAAGGATCAGCCTAACTACTTTTGTGGGGTTTAACAACTGTTAATCCATGTAACATGTTGATTAGACTTAACCAAACAAGCTACTACTCATTAATTACAGGCACAATGCCAGCATTAAATCCTTAATTAATTATATAAAATTAATACCACATATTTAACAATATCAAAAGAATGAAAGAGCTAGTAGGTTCACATACCTTTTAAAGTACTATGAAACGTTTTTACTAAAACAAGAAAAAGATAACTCTGTTACACAAACTTGTGGTTCATAAATGAAGCCCAAAAAGATCACTTTTCTTTGAAATTTAATAAATCGATGCCGACATATTTTACTCTTTGATGGCAAAATAAAAAGAGAATAGAAAAGCTTTAGTGTCTTTTAGGTAAAAAAGAAATTTCTATTTTTTGTTACATTAAATTTTTTAGTTTGTATTTCCCGACAGTAAATTAAGGTTGCGTTGAGTTGGCGCAAAATCATAAGATTATTTTTGTAAGTGAATTTGTTAAAGAAAAAAATAAAAAATGTCCAATATCTATTTAGAAAACTCAACTCTCTGTCCAAATTATGTACTAATAATAATAATTCACTTTGGATCCTTCCTACTCATAATAAGTCCATGCCCACAACTTGTACATCACCATTAGTTTGGTACTAACTTTGGTATTTTTTATTCGTTTTTTACTTGTTTATATTAAATTTTGCATATCTTTTAAAAAATGATCAATTTAAATTATTTACTATCATGTTTATACTAATTGATGTATATATTTTTAGAGTTCGAGAAATTATTTGCGGAATAAATATTTAATATTAAGAATGAATTGGAAAAAGATTAATTATATTATTTTGATGGGTTAAAAGTGAAAAAGAAGAAGAAGTCAACGAAGGGAATGAAGGCACGTACTAACACATTCTGAAATTGATTGAGAATTACTTTTTTTTAGAGTCAAATATAATGAGAATATTTTTCCACCAAGAAAATTGGATGAAAAAAAAATCTGTTGGATGCATTAAAATTTTGCTATGTACATAGAGGGACCGAGGTAGAGTATTTCATGAACATGACCTTTTATTATCAATTATCAATTGAATAAAATAGTTTTTTCAAATCTCATAATATATATATACACGCCCAAAGATGAACATTTCTTATAAAAGGATACAATTTAAAATAAGTTTATAAATAGGTTCCCAAGTCCTTTTTAAGGATAAGACCCTATGTCTTTTTTCTTTATTTTCGCCAAAAAAATATATACTAATCTAAGGCTAGCAAACACACATGGACTTTTTCATATTTTGTTCTTATTTTGATTATTTTTTTTAATTTCATGGTGTTTTCATGTCATACTGTTTTATTCTTTCGAGTGCATATAGTCATATTGTTGACCGTTCACGATGACTTCTTTGAGTTGATCATAGTCTTATTATTACAACAATCAACGTACAAGGTAGATGTCTCAAGTTTCGCTTTCAAGTTCTCAGTTCATAGTGGACTCTCTAGTTTATCTGGACCATATGCTCAGCCTATATCAAGAACCGGAGGCTATGAGTGTGAAGAGTTGGGTCATTATGAATGCTTAATTGTGTCCTTGGCGCAAACAAACAACACACAATAGATTTCTTGAGTTTAGTGTTAGGTAGTGGAGCCTGATTAATTTTAGGTTTTCCTATTTATTCTCTATTTTAGGCTTTCCTATTTATTCTCTGTAACAAAAAATACTCTGATTTATTAATATAAATATACATCACCACCGTGGAAGTTTACTCACGGGGTGTTACCACGAAATATTGGGTTTTCTCTCTCTCTCTCTCTCTCTCTAGATTTCTCATTTCTTTCTCTTGAAAGTTCTTGTGTTCTTCATTCGTCTAGTGTGTGCGTGAATTCGATCTAACAACTGGTATCAGAGCCAAGGAGATTCAACACGATCACTGAAGATGGATAGTTCGAAGCTTGGAATCGAGAAGTTTGATGGACCCGATTTCAGTTTATGGAAGATGCAGATCGAAAATTATCTGTACCAGAAAGATCTTCACGAACCGTTGACCGGGGTGAAGCCGGAATCCATGACGGAGGAGAAGTGGAAACGCAAGGATCGCCAGGCTCTAGGGTTGATCCGATTGACTTTGTCAAGAAACGTGGCGTTCACCATCGTGAAGGAGAAGACTACGTTCGGTCTGTTAAAGGCACTGTCAAACATGTATGAAAAACCATCGGCTATGAACAAGGTATATTTGATGGGTAGATTGTTCAATTTATAGATGTCTGAGAATGGAACCGTTTCTGATCACATAAACGAGTTCAATATGATTGTGAGTCAACTCAATTCTGTGGATATTAATTTCGAAGATGAAATTAAGGCGTTGATTTTGATGTCATCTCTGCCCGAGTCTTAGGATACTTTTGTTGGTGTGATTAGCAGTTTTCGTGGATCTGAGAAACTGAAGTTTGATGAAATCCGTGATGTTGTTCTTAGCAAAAGTATTCGCAAATGAGAAGTGGGAGATTCATCAGGCAGTGCTCTCAGCGTTGATCGAAGGGGGAGAAGTAAGACGAAAGGCCAAAATCAACATGGTCGATCAAAA